TCATTAAAATAAAAATATACAATGGAAAGGAATAATCAGTAATGTATTTTGACCCTAAAAATATACAATGGAAAGGAATAAAAATATTCAGCCTGTCAATGGAGGATAATCAGTAATGTATTTTGACCCTAAACCAATTTACACTTCATGTATCTGTAGCTCTGTAGCAGTACCAATTCCATCTGTCCCGTTTAATTAAGCTTAGTGAATTAGCTATTTGATGTATGACCAGAGAAACATAATTGTTAACCCATAAACTTCTCACCGAAGTTAAAAAATAGTCCTACATACCAGTTCAATTCATTTAGAGCTGTAATTATCCAACTGGTCCAGAGTATACGTGTTTCAGACCACTGGTACATCAACCAGCAATGGATTAGTATGATATAATCAGGTCTATCTAGTTTCCTACGCCAGAAATTGAGTGGATGGACGCCAAAAGAAATCCCTTTTCTTTTTTCATGTGAGTAAACATTACCAGGATTGTTCGTCAATGGCAATTTCATAACTTACAAAATATTTCCTTAACGTCCGGTGCAGAAATGGATGATGAACGCCATTAACTAACTTTTGTTTTTGTGCACTATCAACTAACTCAAAAGAAGTTTCTCATGGACAATTAGCGGCTTCAAAAAGTTCCCATACAAGAAGAATATTCTCCTCTACCGTGACTCCAAGAACCATAGAACAACTAAAAACTCACCCCACCTTCAAAGGCTGCATGCCTATTTGGATGTTCATTGCCAGATCAATGCAAAGGACTCACAACAAACATTGAGTAGGCAGTCCTAAATACCTAATATGCCTTTTTAGGAGACAACCAAAAACACAGGGTAGTCGGATTCCCACCTTATATTATATGCATGACATTGCATACGAAGAAATTCAAAAAAACAATATAGCAATTTGAATATGTTTATACTTAAATTCATGTGACTAACACCCCCCAAATTTAGCAGCATCTCCATACCCAGTACACAGATTCAGGTAATCACGACAAACCCTCTAAAAGAGGGAAGACCAAAAAATCTACTAGCCTACCATCCATTTATTCGAGAAAATATCGAAAACTAGTTATTTTGTGCCTAACACCTTACCTTTATGAAAAACTTCCACGACAAAAGAAAAATTGAAGTAAAACCATAAATGAATTCAACATTAAATGACCAGTTAGAGAGTTAGGCGTGGTCCCTATTGTCGAGAATTGGAATCAATCATCAATCATCAATCATCAATTAATCAAACCCATAACAAATATCAAAAAAGTCTGCACTTCATTGAACAACCATGAATTCAAGACGTAAACACGAAGAGTCCAATCCAAAAAAAAAATCAAC